TTATCTTTTTTCTTTTATTTATCAAATTTTCAAATACTGATTCGAATGTTATTAACATTTTATAATTGTTCGTTCGTCATGCTGAGAATTTTTATTTTTATATATTTGTATGTGTGTGCGAATATTGAGGAGTGAAGTGACGTCACGTGTGATAAAGTTTTCGATATATTTTATATTTATATTCGTTTTTTCAATTTAATCTCTTTTATTGTTATTTGTAAAGAAAATTCATGATTAATTATACATGACGGAATTAATCGGGTCATTTGAGATTTATTTCTTTCTGATTAACAATATATACATGATCTCGAAACTAAAATTTAATATTTTATTTATTTAATTTTATCCCCTTGTCTCGTTAATAAACTAACTGTTACAAACTGCGAGCTTGAGGCAGCGAGCTCTAGCAGCATTCATGTAAAGCCTGCAGCCTCCCCAAAATTCTTTCAGTGCAGTTTAACAGTTTCTTATCAGCTTAGGATTTCTTTCGTATAAAATTAATTAAAAAAATTAAAAATTAAAAAAATTAAATAAGGAAATATTAAAAAGTATAAAAAAATGTTACCAACTCTAATTAAAGTTGATACCAGTTTAACAGTTTTTTAAAAGTTATCGAAAACTCTACAAAAATATACAATGTGGAATATTTGCAAAAATTCAGTAGGGAAATTCTTTACGGAATTCCATACGGAATTTCAGCAGAGTGGTTTTCGTTGAATCGTTTCACGTGGGAAATTATTCAGTTCAAATAAAATTTTTATTAAAAATAAATAAATCAACCTAGTTGGCTCTGAGACGTTTATTTAACCCAAGTAAAATATATTTGGTTCAAATAAAATTTTTCTTTGGGTATAAAATTAAATTTAACAAATAAATTAGTTATTATTAACTATTTCGTTAGTAAAATATTACTATTTAAATTAGTGACTAGCTTTTTACTATCAAATTATTTATTTTTAACTAATTCAAATTTAGATAGGTAGATGAATTAAAAATTGCGTTTAGTACAAATTGTAGTAAACAATACTAATTGTGCACCATAAAAATTCATTTTAGTATAAATTTAAAATAAATAACATCCGGTTAAATAAGATTTCTCAGAAATAGGAATTTTGTTAAATGAGATTTTAGTTTAATAAATGCAGTTAACTGGATTTTTTGCCAAATAAAAGATTAGATTTAAAAAAGTAAGTTTGAATGAAAATTCTTTTCAAAAATTTAAATTTCTATCAGACTTAATAAATAAATTAACCTTCTGAAACTTACCTTAGTCGAAATTTAAGTTCTACTTAACATCTACATGACTCCTACTAAGATTCTCTCTAATCTTAGAGAATTCTCTAAGATTAGAGAGAATCTAAGTAGGAGTTATGAAATTTTATATACTTAAGGAAATGTTACGTAGGACTATAATAGTGTTGGAAAATCTTTTGAGCAGTAGAGTAGTACTAGATAGTACCAAGCAGTACTAAATAAGAACTGGCATTGGCGCTGTTGCGTTGAGCCAATAGTTTTTTTTCTCAGTGTAGAAATAAAAAAAAGTTGAAGTTGTAACAAATAAACTATTTATTATTTTTAAAAATTTTTCTTCTAACTATTAAAGAACTTGTTTTAAAAGAAGTTTTATGTTTAATAGATCATTTTTCTGAGTGTATATTTCGTGTTGTCTTGAGAATAAAAAAAGATAAAATTCAATCCCACACCCCTTTTTCCCCGTGTTTTTAAGGGATGTACATATTCTCAGCGTTCAATTATAACCCTTTTGCATTCTCTATATACCGCTTTCGTTAATTCCAACTCTCTCTTCAAAATGAATAAAACATAAAGCGAATTAGCGAAGAATTCCTTCTTTCTTGCTAAATGCGAGGCTACATGTCATTATGAATGTACATTATTTTGTTATAATATATAACTCTCTCTCTCTCTCTCTCTCTCTCTCTCTCTCTCTCTCTCTCTATATATATATATATATATATATATATATATATATATATATATATGAGTCCCTGAAGGTTGAAAAATTAATTTAAAAAAAAAATTTGTTTAAATTACTTCTGAATAGGAAATTTTATTGCGCATCTTTTTTCTTGTATAAAAATTTTTCGTATCTATTAAGGTATTAGAAGAAAAAGGCAAAAAACTAATTTTTTTATGAAATAACATTTCATTCATTTTTTCTCCTCAACTCGTTCTAAAATGAAAAGTTATTAATATTTTTCATGAAATTCACGAAAGTTATAGTTTATGCTATCCTTTTGGTGAAAAATATTAAAAATTATAAATTTTTGAATTTAAAAAACAATTATTAATAATTTCTTTAATCAATGTTCAACTAATGCTTGATAATTTTCAAACGCTTCGTTTATCCAGGAAATTTTTACGGAGAACAAACTTCCAGTGAATGAAATGTTTATAGATATATAAATAAGTTTTCTATAAAGTTTGATTTCAATTCCATTAGCCGTTTACGAAATATTATCAATAATATTTTCGCGGCGCTACGAACGTAAACACAGTACTCTGAGGTTAACGTATATACTACTTTTTTCATTATAATTTTTAACAAATTACTTGTATTTTATTTAAAATATAAAAATAGATATATTTTTTATAAAGGCAAAGTAATTTAATAAGTTTTGATTACTGAATAAAATGTAAACATTTATTAAAATAAATATAAAATAACATTAATTATTACATTAGATTTAAATAATCTTTTAAAATAAAAGCTTGTAAACATTTAATATTGTTATAAATAAATATGTCACAATTATGAAGTATTAACATCTTTTTAAATAAATTTTTTTCAATAATATAAAACATATATTGAAAAAGGAATTAATCTATCAAACGAGGATACTATAGTAGAGTGGTGCTAAGCGTTAACCTCAGAGTACTGTGTTTACGTTCGTAGCGCCGCGAAAATATTATTGATAATATTATATATATATATATATATATATATATATGTGACTGTCCACGAGAGAACAGGGCTTAGCTCTAAAAAATCAATTTTGAGTTTTTATGCTAATCGATAGATATTATATTGCTTTTTCAAATGCAAAAATCAAAAGTTGTAAATTGTCAATTACTTTTGACAATACAACGTTTTAAAGATGTTATATTGTATGCATTCCTTCGTTCTGCTTCTACTTCAATCACTCGCCCTGTGAAAGCTAAGCCCTGTTTTCTCGTGGACAGTCACATATATACAAAAAAGATGGGGGAATTATATTAAAGAAAAAAGAAAAATGTGCGTGAACAAAACACGCGCCACGGTTTTATTTTGCATATTTTGGCACGAGACCAAAAGAGGTGCTTGGACTAAGAAAACCTTCACAAGGGTTAAATAAGGTAATGAAGTAGGTGGAGAAGAAAAGGGGGTGAGTTTGGATCGCATGCGTCTCAGAGAGAAATGATAACAATCACGAGGAGAGTCCTGACCATTCGATCGATATCCATGTGGTGACTGAACTGGACTCCCTTTTTTATTTCCTCATACTTTCTTTTACAACTCTCAGTACAGTTTTGACTCATTTCGATTTTAAGTATCAGCACTGATTTAAAGGGCGAGATAAGGAAAATGTCCATTTCAAAGTATCAGGGTCGTAGGGTAAATTATATACATGTGTAATTTTTCAGTAGTCTGGAGATTTTACTTGTACTTTATCACTTAAATCGATCGTCGCGCTTTAAAACTCTTGTACCCTTCTTTATCCTATATACTTTAAAAAGTAAACAACAATTTGTCTACTAAATGTCATTTTTTATTATCATTTATTATATACGCTAATCCTAGATAACAATTAAATTTCACAAGGAAAAAAAATATTCCGAAGGCATCAAATATTCCAGTTACCTTCCTGGAATATCCCACTGAAAAAATTCAAAAATATTCTAAAGAAATATTCAATATAGGGTAAGTTCGGGGGAGATGACCAATTCAAATAATAAAATTGTAGGTAGAATCATTAATTTTTTTTGCATGGTCCCAAAAAAATTTGAGAAATTCAGATTTCTTATTGTTACATTTATATTTTTTTTAAAAATTTTTAATTTCATTGAGTAGTAAATAACCTACGCTTTGATATAAACAAAAAATTAAGGGAGAAATTATTTTATTTGTTTAATATATTTTGATGTTTACTTCTGTCATATATTATTGGGTAAGATGGCCATAAGTGACTTTTACTTAAATTTTTTATGTTAATTTTAGATATTCAAGAAATATTATAGAAAAACAAATTTAAAAACCTTTGATAACAAAATAATTGATCGAATTGACACCAGAGATGAAGATCTATTCGTAGGTTGTGCTGAAAGTTACAACCAAACGACATTGATTGAGGATAATAATCGACACTTTTGGCTACATGAAAACTGCACTTAATTGCATTAAGAATGTTCAAAATGCGATAAGAAAAAGAGGAAAGTTATGTGAACGATTAAAAATTAAGTTTAAGCTAAAAGCCAAAAATTATAAGTATTGGACATCTTTTTTCCGGTCAAATTTTGGATTTTTTGTTTTTCAATATTGCACTTTAAATTTTTAGAAAATCAATTATTATTACCTAAAATATAAACAAAATCTAACTAAATGGACAAAAGTTATTCGTTTTTTTAAAAAAATGTACTTTAATGTTTAATGCCCGTTAAAATTAACAATTTTAAAAATTTTTTTAAATCTTTATTTCCTACAATCTTCTGTCATAAAACACTGCATTTATACCAAGTTTCACAAAAATTGAAAGACCCATGACCAACTTTGATTTTTTTGAGAAAATTTGACCCTACATTATTCTAAAGGTTTGGACATTTTAATATTCCTAAAATATGGTTGGAATATTCCAATATAAAATTTCATGGAATGTGAATTGAAGATTTCATGCTATTTGGCTGTATTATAACAAGCGTTAAATAGCGAAAAATATTTTTCTAATATTTTCATTTTTCAATTTATTATAAAAAATTGATTTAAGAAAGAATTTTATCAAACTCACCTGTGCTTTCCGAAATGTTAAAGAATGTAACAAAAGGATTGTTATCCGGTAGGAGACCATACGTTATTTCTCTGGGAACTCCTTTATCACCATCTTCAGCGTGAACTCTTAAGACAACATCGCCCTTTAAGACAACATAAAATACAACAATAAAATAAGCAATTTTTATCACCAATAAGAATATATTGTACTTTCTAATTTTATATGGGTATAGAAAGAAAATATTTTGCTTATAATTTTTTGTGAAAGAAAATATAGTTTTATTTATAAATTTAATAAAAAAAGAAATAAATTTTTGTTTACAATTTTTATGATATAAAAAAAATTATTTCATTTACAATTTTTATTAGAAAAAAATAGTTTTGTTTGTAATTGTTATGCGTAAAAAGGAACTTACCGGTTTTACGGTGTTATTAATTTTTGTTAATGGCGGTGCAAGTGTAAAAATTGGAGGGACATCCTGAACGTCCTTGACAACGACAACGACCTTCAAACCGGCAATGTTACGTGTATCCTTTCCTAATTCAGTGTATGCATCCTAAATGGAAAAATGCAATTAATTTTTTTTCGAGGGTTGTTTCTTTTAATTAGCAATTCTTCTCCATTGTTTGTAATGTCCTGGTTAAATAAATGTCACGTACCGTTGCGTACAGTGTGAGGGTGAACATGGATTGAGTTTCAAAATCCAATTCTCCGATAAGCGTAATTACCCCTCGCGTAGTGGCTGCGGTTTGTCGTTGTATGATTTTAAACAAGCCTTTTGGTTCCTAAAATTATAAAATTCATTTTCCAAATTTAAATATTCCCCGAAGTGAAATTTCCCTCATGGAACGAAATATTTGTTTTTAATATTAAAATTAATTAATAAGGATTATTTATAATAATTAATGAAAACGAATTACTAATTAATTTTAAAAAACCCAATCACGCGGAACATATAATATTACTATGGAATATTTCTGTAATATTCCGATGGAATATTTCTATAATAATCCGATGTAATATTTATATAATATTACGATGGAATATTTATATAATATTCTGTTAGAATATTTCTATAATACTTTAATGTAATATTTTTACTAATATTGCATTATATTCTTTATTATTCTACTAATATTCCTAACTTGTAGATGGAATATTTCACTGAAACATTAGAAATATTCCTAAGGAATATTTTATCTACATTTTACGAATATTAAAATTTTCAACCCTTGGAATAATGTAGAAATATTTCCATAATATTTTGATGGAATATTCCAGAAGCATATTCTGAATGTTCCAATAAAATATTCCAGGAATGTGAATGGAAATGGAAAGTAATATTTTATAGTTAATATTGGAATAATAAAAATACTTGAAAGTCGGAATATTTATTTGAAATAATAATAAAATATTCCATTGGAATATAATTGGAATATAGTTGCAATATTTTTTTATATTAAAATTAATTAATAACGATTATTTATAATAATTAATAAAAAATATTAATTAATTTCAGAAAACCCAATGACGCGGAATATTCAATTTACCTTACATGAATATTCCATTGGATCATTGGGAATATTCCTCTGAAATATTCTATCCACATTTTAGAAATATTAAAATCTTCAAGCTTTAGAATGTTCGTTTGGAATAATGTAGAAATATTCCATCAATATTTTCATGGAATATTCCAGAAAAATATTTCCAATGTTCAATGAAATATTTCAGGAATGTGAATTGAATTAGGAAATAAGAATATTTTATTTTTAATATTTTGAATAATAAAAATGTATTAAAAAAGGAATATTTGTTTAAAATAATAAAAGAATATTTAACTGGAATATAATTTAAATATTCCGTTGTAGATGGAATTGTTATAAATTGTAGATGGAATATTTTATTGAAACTTTCAAAATATTCCTGTAGAATAATTTATCTACATTATACGAATATTAAGATTTTTGACCTTTGGAATAAAGTAGAAATATTCTCACAATATTTTGATGGAATATTCCACAAGAATATTCCGAACGTTCCAATGAAATATTCCAGGGATGTGAATAAAAAACTTCGTGATACTGGGGAATATGTCACAGATAATTTTGCACTACTAGTGCGGAATATTCTATTAACATTTCTGGAATATTTAATTGAACCATTGGAAATATTCCACTGAAACATTAGTTGGGAGAGTTGACAATTTAAATTTAATTTTATAAAGATACAAATATTTCAAACGCACTGAATACTCCACTCACATTCCTACAATATCCAATTGGAAAATTAATTATATTCTAAAGTAATAATTTTTCATTTAAACAGTAGAAATATTAAAGAAGAAATATTTAAAATGAATCTTTCATTCTAGTATAAGGAATATTCCAATTTTAAGAAGGATAAATATGTTTAGGAAGATTCAATATAGGAAACAAAATTTATACATTAAATTAAGTAATTAATTTATTCATTAAGAAATAATTGCAAACATTTCTCGTACCAACAATTCTATGTAGACTGGTTTTCCACTCCAGGGATTTCCTCTTACTAAAATGTAATCAAGTTCTGTACCTGGCTTCGCATCCTGACAAAAAAAATCATAATTATGATTATTATCATTGTTATTTTTATTATTTTTATTATTACTAATATTATTGTGATAATTATAATGAGTATAATATTCATAATATTATATTGCAATAACGCCATTTTTTCTGTTTGCAGCAAGCGTACCCCTCGAATAATTTGTTTCTAAAAATTTGTCATCAATTCAAAAAATAAAAAACTAAAACTAACATTTTTTTTTAATTTAAAAAATACTTTTGAGAGCTCGAGAGTCTACAGAAGCAAGCTTGCGGCAAGCTTACTGTACAATCTTGCCAAGCTTGTCGCTTGGGAAATTAAAAGTTTCAAAAAAACGTTACGAATTTTTTTGATTAAAAAATAAATAAATTAAATAATTAATAAAATTAATAATTAATAACCCTTATTGACAAAAATTTTTATTTTTTGATAAAGAAAAGTGATGAGGGAGTAAACTTCCACAAATGAACAATCAATTCTAATTTTTATCGTCACGATGAATTTAAAGTGAAACTCACCTCGGGAACCATGACAAGTGATGGAATGTGTGGAAATATTTTGTCACGAGGTGTTGTGCAATTGGTGACAGAAATAGTTGCTTGCATTGAATTTAATTCACCCTTAGTATCTCTAACTCGAACAACGAAGTCGTGTAGTCTTCCGGGTATTAACCGTCTCACAAGAATCACGTTAGCCTGACACACTTTGTTGTACAAAGTGCACGGTAAATTTTCAACCCGGACAACTGGAGTTGCTGTAGCTGTAATAAAATAATTATTTTTAGACAAATTCCATTCACATCCCAATAATACGGAATATTCTATTCAAATTCCTGGAATATCCCATTAGAATATTAGGAATATTCCATCCAATTTTTAGGGAACACGGAGAAACTTTGTATACTAGTTTCTGTTAAACTCACCATGTGTTTTTAGTGAATTGACTACTAAAGTGGGGAAAAACTGCGACGGTATCAATATTTCGTAGTCTGACTATTAAACACGGAAAGAGAGTTTGAAAATTTAGTAGTCAGTTGATCAACATTTGAAATTCACGATTTCACTAAAAAAAACAATGTCAAATGTCAGTGACAGGTATTCAGAATGTCGCCACTCATACTAATAAGTAAGGAAGAAATCTATTTTACATATGTTGATTGATAACTTAATTTTAACGCAACCTAATCTAATTCGGCTAACATACAGATAAAGTAACGCACACTGTAATCGACGGAACGCATATACAATTCATATCGAGAAAATAAGTCACTGTTCTTATATACTAATCCAACAATTATATGTGGACGTCCACATGAAAAGGGCCCATTTTGGCACTATTGGAGTTATCTATATGGGCATATTCCTGTCAAAATTTGGTAAATTTTGAGTGGTCTTAGAACTTTTTTGGTTAAAAATTCGCTGAGTTACGGAATTTCAAAGTTTAGAACGCCAAAAACCTCATTTCGAGAAAAACGGAATTAAAGATTGCGATACCGCAACTAATTGTTGTATCTCATGGTTATTCTTGGAAGTTATTCAGATAAGAATTGTTTCCAGTTCAGGGAACCTTGAAGATAAAACACCAACAGGTTTTAAATTTTTAAAACCATCCCCCCTCTTAATTTTGAAAATACGAAAAATCGACAATATGGGCCCTTTTCTAAAAAGGACAGTTTTTCTATTAAAAAACCATTTTTTCACAAGATTAATGATTAAGTACAATTTTGTTGTGTCATTTAAAGAAAAAGAATAGAGATTAAACTTCCCAGTGAGAAATTGCCAATAGACTTTAATCGGTCCAATATCGGTCCAATATTGGTTGCCGTGCTGGGCGCCGATTGACTCCCAATATTGGACTAATATGGGCTGATGCTTGGGATGTAACGGGTTCGCCAAGCATCGGTTGTTAATATTGGTCTAATATTGGCCGAATATCATTGATTTTTCAATGATAGAATTTTTTTGCAGAATGGTATTTCGATTATTTCCTAATAGTTGCTGCATTTTTAAATAATTATAATTTATAAATAATAAATTATTTATTATTTACATAAATTATTAAAAATAAATAATTAAACAAATAAATATATTAAACAAAAATTATAAACATTAATTTTTTATTATTATTATTTAATTAAAAATTTATTTAAAAAAATTTTTTTCTCTTGGTTGCCAATATTCAGCCAATATTGGACCAATAATAACAACCGATGCTTGGCGAACCCGTTACATCCCAAGCATCAGCCCATATTGGTCCAATATTGGGAGCCTTTATTGGACCGATGATTGGTCTCTTGGCTCCCAATATTGGACCGATATTGGACGGGTAAGAAATTTCTCACTGGGTTATTTAAAATTTTCTTACAGCTCTATTATGAAGAAATTGACGCAATATCCAAATTTTCATTTCGACAATTACGAAAAAAAAGACTATAACATTAATATCTCTGGTTCTTCTGGGAAGTTATTCAGATAAGAATTGTTTACAGTCCAGGGTACCTAAAAGATTAAAACCCAAAAGGTTTAAAATTTTTAAAACCATCCCACCCTCTTAATTTTGAAAATACGAAAAATCGACAATATGGGCCCTTTTCTAAAAAGGACAGTTTTTCTATTATAAAACCATTTTTTTACAAGATTAATGATTAGGTACAATTTTATTGTGTCATAAATAAATTGTTATTGAACCAATCGTTTACTTCCCATTGGGAGTGGGAAGACGGTTCCGACAGTCGGAGCATAATCTGTACCGCGCCGGTTGCTTTTTCAGATCCGAATCGGTACAGACCGTCGGTACTTGCGGTCTGTACGGGCGCGGATCCCAGCCGGTTGTAAACTCCGACGTTCGTCCGACTTTTCCGCCTGGGAGTAGGCTTCCTCATTATCAAATCGTTTCCTCGTTTTTCCTTCGCAATTTTCGAAAGAGCCCTTCTTCTTATCCCCACGGAACGGAACCTGAAAGAAACTTGGAAAGGGTCGCTGACCATATGTGACGTACGCTGACAATCGAGGGGGTAATTACTAGTTAAAATGGTGTACACTCTAATACACTAAATTTTCCTGCTATTACGCGTATTATCTAGTATTATAGGGTATTACAGAACTATTACAGGGTATTACTGATTATTACAGAATATTACCTCTATATTATGTGGTATTACACTGACGTAATAATGCTCTATTACGTGGCTATTACGGGAGGAGCATACACGCTAATACACAAGTAAATAATCCCTCGCTGACAATTAATCATGCGCAAAATCATTTAAATTCTGATTTCACGAAAACCACATCTCCTCACACGCTGATTCGAAAGAAATATACAAGAGACTTGACAAAAAACGAGACAGACCTAAGATAAGAAAGAGACAAACAAACGACTCTCTAAACGCTGAAAATGCTTTTCCTACACATGGCAAATTAGGCAGAGTAAGTAACGAAACACTTCGTTACAAAGTTTTTCCGTCAAATATTCCTAAAATGTGGATGGAATATTTTAATGGAAAATTCCAGAAATGTGAATGGAATATTTCTAGTAAGTTTCGTTATTATTCAGTGGAAATTTGAACCAGCATTAGAAATTATTTTTAATAGAAAAAATTTATTATTAATAAAATTAAATAATTATTTCTATTTCACAAAATAGTTTCTACCTATTTATAATTATTAATATTAATATTTTTTTAATAACATTTATAATTTATTAAAATTATTAGGTACATATTCATTTTATTTATTTTTATTATATTTCTATTTCTATTTTATTTATTAATATTAAAGTTATTATTATTTGTAATTAATTTAAACATTTTTTTATTAATATGATATAGGATTGAAAAATATTTTTTTCTATTTAGTTGTAAATAGGAATAAATATATTGATATTCATCTTTTTTGTAAAATTTACCATAAATATCGAAAGTCAATGGAAAATCGGCATCTTGATCGGTAGCACGTAAGCGAAAAATTGTAGAATTGACTTCGGCATCGGCTGGAACTAAAACGTGTCCCATATCCGTTGAAAAGTCGAATTGCGGACGTGTTCCCTCGGACCATCCAATTATAAATCCCAAGTAGAGCCATGCTTTGAGCCATGCTTCTATCAAGGGCATTCTAAAAAAAATATTATTTTTAAATTTTGTAAAACATTATTTTTGAGGAGAATTTTGAAAAAATAATACAATTTCCACATAAGGTAGATGTAATTTATTTTTAATTTTGTTTATTTATTTGAAGAATATAAAAATTTCGTAAGCACGGTATATTTCATTTATAGGTATCTTTAGAATATTCCATACATATTCCTAGAATAGTACATTGGAATATTCTATTCATATTCGTAGAATATTCCATTGGAATATTGAGAATGTTAAAATGTCGGACCTTTGGAATGCTCTTTTGGAATAATGTAGGAATATTTCATTAAAATATTATAAAAATATGATAATTTTATCAAAAATACTGGAATAAGTATTAACTTTCTAGAATTGAAGAAAAAGTTTTAATTTTTTGTGTCCAGCAACCTTTGAAGATATTAAAAACATTTAAATATTTTTGAATTTTCCATGTTCTGCTTGGAAACCTTAAAATCAACCACAAATATTAATGCTAAACTTTTAATTTTTTCCATTTCTGACAATAAAATTGATCTTTACAGAATCTGAAATTGAATTTATTTTAAATAAGTTAAATCTTGAAAAAGTTTCATAAAATTGTTATTTATAAAATATTCAGAGAATAATTTTATTTAGAAATTAAAAAATAATGTATTTAACGATAGTTTTCGAGTCTTGAATCTTGTCTTGGTCTTGATAGTTATTGTCTCGACTCGCTTTGAACAGACAAGACGAGAAAAAAGTTCATCTTGGTCTTGGTCTTGACGATGATTGTCTCGTCTCGTCTCGAAAATCTCGAGTCTTGCGGCATCACTAATCATATACTAATCAATTTTCATGCCATTTAAATAAATTCATCCATTAATTTTATATTAAAAAAGTGTCAAATTTAAAAAGTAATATTCCTAAATAATTCTAAACGAACATTCCAAAAATTGAACATTTTAATATTCCTAAAATGTGAATAGAATATTCCAGAAGAATACTTTCAATTTTCCTATAGAATATTCTGGGAATATCAATGGAATATTCCTTGTGTGTAATAAAAAGAAAGGTAAATTAAACCTAAATTTTATACAGATTAATAATTACTTATGTTTTTTAAATTTACAATTATTTATTTTTTTATAATTATTAAATTATAAATAATTGTCAAATTAAACAATAGACGAGAAAAAGAAAAATAATCCAGAATTTGTATTTTAAATGATAAAAAATTGGTAATTTCAACTCACCTGTACCTAACTCTCGACCTCATTTTTTGATTATAAAATCGATATTTGCGATTTTATCAGAAGACTAGATCTTTCTACTATTCATTTGTAAATACACGATTTCTACTCTGTCGTTAAAAAAGCAGATATTTACGTTTTTCTTTCTCTCAAATATGAATCATATTTTTAATGAGACAACTTTAGTGTTTTGTGCTTTCTGATTTATTACCCTTGTATATAATATATATAAGTAAATTAAAATCATTGAATAAATACACAGATTTTAAATAACCTCATTCAGTTATAAAATTTATGTCTAAACACTGTAATCATAAAAGCAAAGAGAAAAAAATTTAATTACTGTTCTTTATTTTTTTTATTTAACTTTTTGATTTACATTTTTTGTTTATTGATTTTATAATTTATTTATATGAAGAAGAATTTTTTAAATTTAAATTTTCTTAAACGAAATTTATTTTATTTATTTTTGAGCAATTTGATTTTTATTTACATTACATCAATCGAACGGAATATTCTATTGGAAAATTTGAAATATTACTTTGGAATATTCCATACACATTTTAGGAATATTACAATGTCCGTCCTTTGGAATGTTCCTTTAGAATAATGTAGAAATATTCCATTGGGATATTGTAATTGGAATATAGTGTAGGAATATATAATTAGAATATTATAGGAATATTTCAAAAGAATATTAGTTTTTTTTAATTTTAAACTTTACAGTTTAAAATAAATTGGTAAATTTATTTATGTGGCTCAAAAATTGATTAGAAACAAAAAATTATACTAATAAGAAAAATATTTAGAAAATATTCCAATTGAATATTCATACAACATTTTGATGGAATATTTCAACGTTACTCCAAAAGAATATTATTCGGAAACATAAGTCGGAAATTATTTTATTTTTAAAATATGAATAAAAAATTTCAGAGGAATATTCCAGAATGAGAATGGAATTATATCCTCGGTGTCGCCTGGGAATATTAAAACGTCCCACAGTTGGAATGTTCTTCTCAAATACTTTAGAAACATTCTAATAAAATATTATGGAAATATCTTTTTGAAGCATTGAGAACATTCCTTTGGAATATTCAATCGACAGTTTAGGAATATTAAAATGACTGAGTTTTGGAAATTTTCTTTTAAAATAATATAGGATTATTGCACTAGGAATATACGACTCCAACAAACACGGAATATTTCATTATAATTCCTGGAATATTCCATTGGAACATTGGGAATATTCTTCTGGAATATTTAATACATATTTTAAGCATATTAAAATGTCCTAGCGTTACAATCTTTCTTTAGAATAATGTATGAATATTCTATCAAAATATTGTGGGAATATTCTTTTAAGAATCAGTAACAATATTTTTTATTGGTAATACCGATAATATAATATTCCATTTCCAAGTCAATTAAATAAATTTATTAATTAATTTTGAACTCAAAAAGTTGTAAATTTAAAAAACAATCTTCCTATGGAATATTTCTATAATAATATTTAAATGATATATTCCTCCTATTTTCCAATTACCATTTTTGTACGAAATATTCTTATCATATGCCAATAAAAAAATTCCTATAATATTCTTCTGAAATATTCTTACTATATTAAAATAAAAATATTCCAATGGAATATGTTTACATTATTTTAAAAAAAATCTTCAAAGATCAGACATTTTAATATTCCTTAAATGTGGATGGAATATTTCCAAACAATTTTCCTAAAATACAGACAGAATATTCCAAAGAAATATTTCTAAAATGTGGATGGAATATTCTGAATAAATATTCCGCATGTTTTAATGGAATATTTCAAGAATGTGAATGGAATATTTACTTCTTATTTAATAAATAATTATTTAATATAATAAGAAATAATAAGTAACTAATAATTATTGTAGATACCTAATAATAAATTATAATATAATTAATTATAACAAACTAATAATAATAACTAATAAATAACTTATACTTTTATCGAAAAATAAATGATTTTCTTGCGTATAAAAATTGTAAATTTGGAAAAATACAAATGTTTAAAACATGTATGTAGGTACCTCTATATAAATAATATTTACAAAAAAATGTGAAAGGGGTTGTTTTTACAATATATGTTTCACTAATCCAGTAAAATATTGAGAGTCGAGAAATTTCAATTAGAGTGTGACGAAAAAGGGAAATGGAATGGGGTATGGTACTTATAATTTCCTCTATTTTCTATTTCAAGTTAAACTATTTAAAACACGTTTTGCATGCAAACTGAACTTTGGTTTTTACAACACTATTATACAAACTTGAGTGCAATACGGAAAAGAAAAAATAAATCAATTCCAAAACAATTTATGTATATGCACATTCGTCTATAGATAGAAATAAAAGAGAAAAAAACAATTATCATTTTTTAAATAAAGAGAAATTGAATTAAATTTTCTGGAAAAAAATTTTAATTTTTCTGCAAAAAAGAAAACTTCAACTTTTAAATAAATGTAGTAATACAAATTCTTTATATTTTATTTTCCAATACTAATTTTTTTCAATTTCGTAAAAAATATAATCATTCTCAAAAATATGGAATAGTTTATTTGTTTATTCACATTTTTCTGAATATTCCAAAGGAATATTTCACATTTTGGGAATATCAATATGTCCGGCCTTTGGAATGTTCCTTTTGGAATAATGTAGAAATATTTCATTTAAGCATTGTAATTGAAATACAGTAGTAATATTTCATTGGAATACTGCACCGAAAAAAAAATAATTTCAATTTTAGACTATTCCTCTTCTTTTGCCGCATTTTTTCCTCTTATATATGGGCACTAAAGTTTTCATTTCTAATTGAGAGGTTTTTCCTCTTTTACATTTTCCATTAAATGTCACTTTTTAAGCAGTTTGAAGGTGCGTTCAGAAAAACAAAAAACAGCTTAAAAATCTTCTTTCTAGTATAAATTTGTTTCAATTTGAGAGGAATAATTTCAAACAAAGAAGAAAGGTTAAAATTCATCTTTTAGTTAAAAAACTTTTAAATGTAAACAAAAATTCCTCTTTTTTGTAAATGAATATTCGCATATTAAAAATAAAATGTAAAAATAATTGTTAAGCGGAATTTTCTTCTCACTTTGAGATTTTATTTTTTTCGGTGTGCAGGAACATTTCAATGGCACATTACACTTCTACTTTACTTCTACATATTTTCATTTAAAAAAATGGGAATTTATATAAATAAGGCGAAAATTTATATTATCATTAAAGATACTAATAATAATAAAAAATATTTTTAAAAAATCCAATGAAATATTACCACAATATTTTGATGGAATATTCCTACATTAATCTAAAAAAACAATTCAAAGGTTGGACGTTATAATATTCTTAAAAATTGGATGGAATATTCAAAACATTCCAAAAATATTCCAGGAATGTCAATAAAATATTTCTTCAAATTATAATGTATTTGAATTTCTATACTAAAATTAAAATAAAATGAAAAAATTTTCATTACATTTCTCAATAATATTTAATGAATATTAATTATATCAATATTCCAAAAATATTCTATTGGAATTTTGTAAAATAAAGTTTTTTAAATTTTAGTATTATTGATTATTTGTTAATCAATTTTCGCACCATTTTTAAATATATTTATTTTGAACATAGAAGTAAAAAAGTTGTAAACTTAAAAAGTAATATTCCTTTGGAATATTCGCATTTTAATTACAACTTTTTAATTCCATAATTCAAAATTATTTCAAAG